TTTGTAAAAGAAAGAGTTCATCAATTAAAAAAGATTTCTGTAATAGATTTGTGTTTCTCTGCACAAATATTTGAACTTATTGTTATTTTTGGGGTTTATATGACATGAGTTTTCTGATCCAGACACTTTGGATCAAAGTCGGTTGGACACGACCCCCGGAACAAAATGAGTTTGACTCTCCTGAGCTAGAATACATTTTTAGGCATGTTTTTAAAAGAAAGTAAATGTTTAATTTAATATTCTTTAAATATTCCAGTAGCCTTTCCAGGAAGTTTATCAGTAAGTTTTTTATTCATATTATTCTAGTCCTTCAAAAAAACGTAATTGCATTAAAGTGAATAAACCCACAACAAATGAATTATTGTCCTTTTGGCACAAGTCTGCTCAGCCACAGGAGACAGGCTCAAAATGTAAACAGAAGGCTCAAGTAAATGTCAATAGGCATTTACATAAACCTCAGACACTCAGAATGCACTCACACTAGGACTTCAGGCCTGCGCACAAACACAGAGCGCCTCTAAAGCGCCGCACGTTTGTCCAGTGTGAGCGCAAACCATCCACACCAGGCACGGACGGACTGGGAGTTTGGTCCGACTGAAGGAGATGGGCCAAATCACAGCACAGAGCTCAAACTAAACTCCACTCTGAAACTGCTCTAAAAACACAGTCAATCCACCTCACCATTAATAAAGACAGTGACAGAAGTTTATCTGCTCCTCGCTGTTTTTATCTCCACAAACTCACAGAGGAAAGTGCATCATAAAAGGACTCACATCTGTCTCACTATTTTATACATATTTCTGCCGCTGGACTTTTTTTCTCTGCTAAAGCGATATGTAAACAAAAAGCACCGTGTGATGACGTCACCGGCCATGCCTCGGATCAGTTTGTGCAGGCGTGAGAGCAGAACGTTAGTCTGATTCATCAGCTGGTTTCACTTTGTGGAAACCGTGTGACCTCGCAGCACTAGGATTCATTCGCTCGACAGTAGGCGGGTACTTTTTTTTTATTTAACCAATCGCTGCTGTTCGTATGTAATCCTGTAGGAAGAAGGACAATACCGTCTTTCCCCTTGATAAAATTCACCAAACATTCTCCTTGTTCTGGCTTTAAATCCTCGATTTTCGAGAATTGTTGACAGCACAGAATGTCTGATTCTTCGCTGACTGGCTGGTGCCCGAACTCGCACTTTCGGGGTTCTTGCAAATCATCTATTGTATTTTGATTCCTGACCTAGTCACTGGAGAGAAATTAAATTGAGTGGAGACACTAGGTGGCCCCAGACTGGCTAACAGAACGTGAGTGCACACTAAAATATTTCCACACTGCCGACATTTTAAAGAAGGCGCCAGATCACCGCGTCACTGCACGTTGTTTGATTGCGTCATTGCATCACACGCCACTATTCGGCCTGACTTTTAACTCACTCCACCAAAAGTCGAATGTGTGTTGTTGTTTTTTTGCAATACTCGGACAAAGATGTTCAGTTATCGAATATTCAGTGCATCTCTAACACACCGTCTGTGGTCAAATTAAATTCTCCTCCTCGTACAAATGATGGTGAAGTTCATCCGTCGCACCTGTCCAGCCTCAACCACAAGCTTTAAAAAAAACTTCACAAAGACAAGTGGATCATCTCAAGTTTGGACGGAAGTTTTTCACGCTCTGTCGTCCAGTTCCAGAACCTCATGGATTCGAACAGAACGTAGAAGGAACGGGCTGCTCAGGGAAGAAAAAGAGGAGGTTCAGATACAAGAACCACACACAAAGGATGTAAAAATAACCGAAATATCGTGAGATTGTATCGTCAAAACTGTCAATAATACCGTGGCCTGTCACTATATATCGCATTACAAGGTCCTAAAGTATAGTATAAAAGTATCACAAAAAGAGGGGACTACATAGACCATGATTCTTTGCTTCATTTCAGTGCAAACTACAGCTATGTGTATGTGCTGTGACTCCAGTGTGAACATTAAACGGCCCAAAAGTGTCCCACATGTGACACTGGAGACACGACGACGTCAACCGCAGCGAGCGTCTCTGTGTTTACACAAGTTGAACAAACATGGACGCAGCATCGAGCACCTGGAGATTTTAAAGTTCCTCTCGTACCGGAGCCACAACATGAACAACTGACTTGTTTTAAGGAGGAGATTGAGAAGGAGAAGGACCAGGTTTTTGGTGGTGGTGTTTTGTGGTGAGTGGAGATGTGCTTCACTTCAGTCACATGGATCATTAACAATTTTCTCCTACTTCAGCGCAGAATAGTGACGTTTGTGTCTTGTTGATGACGTGTAGGTGGATGAATGTGACCTGACTGTTCACACTGAAGTCACATGTTAAAGATCAGATATGGATCAGGTTCAGGAGCACAGATCCAAGTGTCCTGGGTCATGTTTGAAAAAATCTGATCTGTGTGGTTCAGACTGACATTAAAAGATCAGATACAGGAACATAGAGACCAAAAACTCGGATTTGGGTCACTTCAGGCTGCAGTGTGAACACAGCCGACATGATAAAATAGCTTAACTCTTTATATTATGAAAGTAAAGATTCACACTGAAGTCTTTTCGAGGCATTTTAAAAGAGAAAAGGATCACAGTCACACTGCCAGATTCTTCAAAATATCGTACAAATGCACATCTGATCAAAAATCTCAACATTAAGTGCACAAGAATCAAAATGAAATCAAAACTGTGACGTGGGACTGAGAGAAAATTGAAATGAGACGTGCTGAGATGTGACCCGCCCTGACGGAGCAGAGGGTGACGGAGAACGTGACGGAGAACGTGACGGAGAACGGGACGGAGAACGTGACGGGGAACGTGACGGAGAACGGGACGGAGACCGGGACGGGGAACGTGACGGAGAACGGGACGGAGAACGTGACGGAGAACGGGACGGAGAACGTGACGGAGAACGGTCCTGACGCTCGACTAAGACCCGGTCTTATATCAGAGCTCCGCGCGAGCCGCTGACTCATGGTTTTCCCGCCGCCCGTCAGAACCGTCGGAGATGGACAGAGCGAAGGAGGATCTCACGTCCGTCGCCATGGAGACTGCGGGCCGGTCACTTCAGGCCAATATCTCACGCTCGTCTTGTGTTTAGGAATTTAGACCAGGGAACAATGGAGCCGATGTCAGAACTGTGGCCTCAAAGGGCGTCTGGGGTTTTGGCAGAATTTAACCAGTGCAGAGTTTTGGAAAATGATCTTTTAAGTTAATAATAATAGTATAGGCAAATTAATTTTACCACTATTAATCCGGGGCCTAAATGAAAATCAAAACTAAACTAAACTATTTGAACTCGTTTGACTGAAAAGATTTGATCAGAGTTTGTCAGAGTCTGGGTCAGTAAGTAATGTTCAGAGTTTATGTGTCAGGCCCGTTTCTTTCAATAAAAGTGAATCAAACATGATACTTTGCAGTATCATAGTACTTAGGTCAGGCATGTCCAAACTACGGCTCTGACAAATTTTTCTTGGCCCTCAGGCTTCCAAATGACTTTACATCAATTAAAAATCAACTTTTCACTGCAAGTTTTTTGAAAATCTACCATGGTAAAGCTCATATTTAATATTTAATTTGTATTTTTAAGGATCTGAGCGTGAATAAAGATGGTTCATTCTAACGAGTTTAAACATGCACGTATTTCAATTATTCACTGTACTGAGCTCCAGTCCACGGCCCTCGATCGTCCCTCTGCTTCTTCTGTGTTTAGAGATGTGGCCCTTGATGAAAAAAGTTCGGCCGCCCCTGTGTTAGATAGAGGCACTGCTCTGTCTGAAGCTCTGTTTTAACCTCAGCCTTGTTTTCACATCATTTCACCAAAGAGAATTTAGTTGGAAGTCAGAGGTTACACTCGTCTTTTTCTTTGCTTACCATCAATAATACGGCCCAGGGGGATTTCAAAAGTGAACATAGTGTGAACATCGAGTGTTCAAGCTTCTATAGGCGAGGTTCATTGTTGACAAAAGCGTGCGTTTCATGCTGGGAATTATTTTGGTCGGCGGCAAGAAACACTAATTCGACATGACAGACGGAGCGAGAAAGCACGTAAAGGGTATTGATCCCGGTTATTTATCCACTCTAACGGCAGACGACCCAAGACCATTTGACCAGAAATTGGTCATAAACATCGACGGACGACAAATCACCCTTTTCAACCCCGACAGAGTCTGGACCAAACCACATTTCTGGTCAGAATCTCCAACTCCCTGGACAAATATTCACTTGGGCGACATCCACAATGACTTGGTGGAAACTCCTGGGCCGTTCACAGCAGAAAAGATGAAAACCTCCAAGAGTCTGGATGTGTTGTTGAACTTGTTGAGTCCACGGTTTGTTAGGATCTTCTACGTTTGCTCTGCGGATGTTTGAAAGTCGTTTAATTCACCGTTAGTGGTTCTTTTCACTCAGAATACGAAAAAGACATTTTCCTTCTTCCGTGTTTCTATTCGTGCGTCTGATAATGCAGCAGGAATTTACCATTATCAGGGAGAAATACGCGAGGTTACACACTGTGTTTGACGCTACCGTGTTTCTCGCCTCCGACTGAAATATTTCCCAGCAGCAACGCGGGATTTTAATAACAATGACGTCAGCTGAAACTCGCCTATAGGAGGAGGTTCATAAAGTGTAGTGAGACTATGAAGGCCAGTAGACACCAGGATAACGGTGCCAGCGGTGTGCCAGGGGAAGCTCATGGTGTAAATATGACTTTAGTCGCTTTAGTTGATGTTAGAAACGTACGTGGAGGATGAATGACTTACATTCTCTTTACGTTGATAACAGGCTCTTGAAAATGTGCTTAAATCCATCCAATTAGTTTTCAAATGACCTAAAACGTTTTGGGCAGTGTTTTACACATGAGCAACTGCTGAACATTCCACCAAAGACATACATACAGAACAACCCAGCATGTATCTTTCAGTCCTGCTTTGACTGAGTCCAGATCGTGAAATGTGTGTAGACGAGTCCGTCCGGCGCAGGACTCACCTCAGGGTCAGAAGTCAGATCTCCAGTGGGAGGGGCCCAGGACTCTCCACTCCGGCACACATCTGTCTCAGCTTCACCTGAACACACACACACACACACACACACTTATATGGATTACTGTATTTTTCGGATGCATAATAAGGCGCAATATGAATAATGTTGAATTCTCTCGTCTGTTTTCATACATAAGTCACACAGGAGCATGAAGTGAAACAAACAGACGACACTTGAGTCCTGATCCTTAGTCCAGGCGTCCTCGATCCATCAACAGATCGTGGTGTAATTCGCCCGGCCTTGTCTCTCTGTCTTGGTGAATGTGTTTTATGAATGTGAATGTGGGTGGATCATTTAAGTTTGTTTTTTTTATTTCCTACAAGGACGACTCAAATACACACTGAGTAATAATGTGTTTAATGCAGCTTTGACACATTTGTTTACGTTTTACATAAACTAAACTTAAAACCACATGACTCATTTGCATAAACTATAAGCTCTGAAAAAAAAACAGCTCACTCCTTGTGCGCTGTTGCGGTTCAGCTTCTGTTGGACTCAGGAATTCTCCAATAATCCATCAAGTGGTGTGGCTTTGTAGTTTACCAAAGTCATACTAAAACATTCTGACAGATTTTTGAGCGCCGTGTACGACAGAAAATCAGTTCGAGGTCAGAAACACAATTAGAATTAATACATAAGGGTTCGGTCAAGTGGTAACGGAGGGAAACGGGCAGATTTTTGACATTCAAATGTCTCTTATTCAGAAACTAGAGGAACTATTGAAATAAGTAAAGTATCAGAATGTAGGAAAGAGTTACACTCCAACAGGGTCAAGTTAAACCTGTGAGATTCTTTCAAGTTCAAGACAAAAAATTTAAAAACTCATGTCGGTAACGGAGGGAATGAAATATGCAGCACTTTTTGGTCAATAAATCCAAACAGTGATAACTCTTGGTTCTCACTTCCATATCCTTAACAAACTGGTTTGAATATTTGCTTCATATAGTTTTCTACCATATGGTACAAGATTAGGTTGAAAAACCTCTGACTTTTTGACTCATGAGATTTTTTATTAAGAAAGTTCATGGTAACGGAGGGAAAAGTAACGGAGGGAAAATTGTACAAACAAGTAGAAGGTGCAGGATTTTACATCATTTGTCACTTTTTTCTTCTGAAAACTTTAATATTACTTCAAAATGAAAGGAAACTATTTCTATAAAATATGTCAGTCCTTCCAAGAACATTTTTATCATTTTCAATAATTATTATTTTTTTTTTTATTCATGTCCCTTCATCAACAGTTCAAAGATGGAATAACACAAGATATGATGAAATACAAACATTTATTTACATGATTTTGCAGGTCTTTGAAATTTGGGAAATAATTTTTGTTCCATGTTTCATACATGGTCTGTTGAACCAAAAATGGTACAAAAAAAAGGTCAACAGTTTGATAAACTAGAGTACATATGTATCTGTTCAATACATTTTTATATCAGATGCATTAACTTTTTGGTCTTGTTGTTTACTTCTGCTTGACCCGGGACCAGAAGACGTGCGGATTATAAGACGCAAGGTTGATTTTTGAAAAAATGTAAGGATCCTGGTGTTTTTATTTCACTATTTTGTCCATAAATTATTTCCTTTTCCTTCTCATGACCATCGTGACGTCACTCTCCCTCGATCCACGTCTTTATTTTTTAGTCTGTGATCCGGACTCGGACTCGGACTCTGTGGTCTCAGTGTGGAGCTCATGAGACCTGCAGGACCACAACAGCCGACTTTCCTCACAGGAACAGTGTCCGGAGCCGAGGGAGAGGAGACGCCTGCCCATCCTGTTTACAGCACATCAAACACACCAGCACAATGTCTCACACACACACACACACACACAGGCGCGCGCACATACACACACACACACACACACACACACACACCATTCAGCAGCACACAAGAGCTCAGGTTTCAATTCAAGATTAAAGCTCTATTATGTATTATTCAGGCTTTTGCTTTGGACACTTTCAGCTTTCAGGACTTTAGCTCTTTTCTGCTCAAATGAAAAAACAAAACCTGAGTCCGTAAAACGTTTAATTTTAAAGAGAAATGAAATGGGAGTAAATTAAGGATGAAGAAAAAACACACTCAGTCACAGCAGCCAGAAAAGACAAAGCTGTTTTAAACTTCATTTACAAAGAGAATCCAACATTTAAAAAGTAAATTATGAATAAAAATGCTGCCTCCAGGGGCCACTGCACTCAAGTACTATGTGACATCACACAGGACTGACCACTGACGCGTGTTTCTGTACAAGGGTCGGTGACGTGACGTTGGGATTTTTGTGTCCAGAAGCCACAATTTTCGTTATACTTTTATACATTAATAACTAGTTTAAATTGATTTGTTTTATATCAGTTTAGTTGTACCAAAACACATTTAGATGAAGAAACCAAATTTGAAAGAAAATTACAGGTCAGGGGTCACCAAACATTTTTCTCTGGGAGCCACGTTATGACTCCTGACTGTGATGGGGTCTGAGGTCGGGTCGTTCTTTAAAAACACCACACTTTCTTTACATATCAGACAAACTGCACGCTCCAATACTGAACAAAAAAAAGAATCGGTCACTCACTGTTCTTTGAAAACGCGACACTCAAGTTTTCGTGCTTTAACACAAGACATTTTTCTGTCCTTACCTGCACTACAGATCTACAGAACTCTGTGCGTCGACTGTCACTGTTCGATCAGAAGTTTGTCAGGTGATGAAAATTTGGCCACAAATGTAAATATGTCATATAATTAATTAAATATAAATATATATACTTCTCATAAATATCATTTTTTAATAGAAAAAAAATCAACAAAATACAAGATGCACACATGTTATTATTTGTCTAAAAGTAATTTAATGATAACTTTTGAGGATTGTCTCATAGGGCCAGTTCAGGTGTTGGGGGGGGGCTGAGGGCCATCAAAGGGGCGTGGAGGACCAGAGTCGGCCTGCGGGCCTTAGTTTTATGGCCCCGTTATAGGTTTATCAAAATGTCATTGGGTCACACATAGAATCAGTGATAACATTTGTTTGCAAAAATGATAAAAACTGACAAAATATTTTAGTCTTTCTATGAAAAAAAAAAAAAAAAGGTACCACAGTCAAGGGTTATTCTTCAAAACTTTAAGAAAACATTAAGAAAAAAAAAAAAAGTTTTAATGGTCTACTGTTTATTTGTAGATCTCAGTTTGTGTTTTTCATCATTTTCAATAATATAAGTTATTTTAAATTTAATTTTAACAGTGACATTTTAACAGTATGTTGCACCACATGACATTTTTAAGACGCCCCAGGATTTAAATGCAGAAAAATGTTTTTAATCAATGTTTAGGTTTTTTTTTTTTTTTTTTTTTTTTTTTAAATAGAGGCAAATTATAAAATATAGACTTAAATATACCAGAAAATCTACACATTTTGCTGTTGTTATATTTCCATTTTTTGAGCATTTTAAAACTGCAGAATGTCACAGACTCAAACACGTCGCTCCCTGTGAGACCGAGTTCACACGTGAGTACAGTTTTGCACACTTCCCCAGGTGCTGTGTGTGCGTGGGGCCCCTGTCCTCTGCACACTGCCCTGACACACTCGCTCCAGGCTCCACTAATCAGGCTCAGATGACGGAGCAGGACGACGCTAATCCTGAAGCTCTGCTCTGTGTAAACACAACACGACATGACAACAGCGGATCAGCTGGAAACAAAACCAGAGCTGCACCACTCACCACCACCCAAACCGACAATCCCTGAGATATGACGCTAACTGGAAGCACCGCTCTGTCTGACGCTGTTACGACTCTAGTTACGACTTTAATCTGATCTTTATTTTAAAATAATGTGACTAGAAAGAGCTCAGACTGACATGGAAATACAAGATAAATTACAAAATTAAATTAAACACAAGATCAATTATATACACAGGAAATGTCTGCTCCTGCTCTCATCTGATCAAATGCATCTCCACAAAAAGTGCAACTTATATGTTTTTTTCTTCCTCATTACGCATTTTTTGGCCGTGTTACAACCCGGCTCTGCAACGGAAAAGGAGGAAGTAACAAAAAAACAAGATGGAAAATGGAATAAATTGAATAATGTTTAATTAACAGGGGTGTAAAAGGACAAAAGATTAAAATATACAGAAAACTAGAAAAGCAGTCAGAGAGCGCAGACCTTCGCCAAGGACTACCCCCATTTTTTATATAAACTGCAATAAAATCAGTCTCCTGGATCAGATCCGGATCAGCCTTTGGAATATGAAAGAGGATCCCATTGTCCATCCCTGAGTCAAATTTCATGGGGTTTGGTCAATAATTAACCCAGATATTGAGAAACAAACTTTTTGGCCCCATTTACCACAATGTTAACTAAAATTTCAAAGTGATCCAGAATCCAGGATTTCTTCCGGATCAGCCCCAAAATGAAGTCAGTTCTTCCTTTTCACATTTCCAACAAATCCTGAAAATTTCATCAAAATCGGTCCATAACTTTTTGAGTTATGTTGCTAAAAGGCAAACAAACAAACAAACAAACAGACAAACAAACAAACAAACAAACAAACGCCGGCAAAAACATAAAATCCTTGGCGGAGGTAATAACCTAAACTAAGAAACAGAACAACAGAATAAACTGAGTTTTGTGCCACGCAGGGGTCACACAGACTTACACAAAACAAGTGGTTAACAAAGGGACACACACTAAACTAAAACACAAGTTCCCCAAATTAAACCACATAAACCCACAAACAGAATCGAGTGACCAAATCAAAAAAGGCACAAAACAGAACTACACACTAGTGATGTTGTGCGACGTGCCGAGGCTTCGAAGCCTGTGTTGAGTAATGAAGGGGATGTTTCCGTGAAGCGCATATCGAGGCTCGCTTCATTTGGGGGAGGAGCCAAAATGTTGACATCTGAAGCCTCGCTGCCCGGCTCGACCACGTGACCGATTCAGGAAGTGGTTCGCAGATTTGGCGCAATTCGAAACATAAGGGCCAGAGAAATGCAACGGATTCACCCAAAATATTTTTTGGTTTTGAGTT